ACAACGAATTCAACCTGCAAAACAGAAGTATGCAATTATTAGCTATTTAGTTGTTAATAAATAGTTCACAATAAAATAATATGTAAACATTAAGCAGAAATTATATTTAGTGCCTTTGGTCTGTACTGATATTCATTTAAGAAACGTGTTTTGATAGATAAATCCAGTGTTTATAAACAAATCGCGCAAAAAATAATTGTTTTAGTTGTTTTGATGGAAGAGAGATGGGCCTAAGATGCACTTTCTGACAATAAATTGGTGACAATCAGATGACTTAGCCGGCTGCTGAGACAGCCACGCCGATAGGACGATATCAACAACATGCAAACGCGCTGAATATCTGGCCTCAAGCCTGAAGCCTGTGCGCCGCTAATTTAAACCAAATATAAGATACAAAAAAGATGCAATTAGTTAAGCTATTTTAAATAAACGTTTACACGAATAAAATCACAGAAAATAAAACACTATTGAATAAACACTTATCAACTGTAAATTTGCTATGAATTCAACCTGCAAAATAGGAATATTCATTTATTAAATTGGTTGCTAATAAATAATTCACAATAAAAGAATTTGTATACAATAAGCCAAAATTATATCGACTGTATTTGGTCTGTACTGATATTAAAATGTAAGGAACGTGTTTTGATAGATAAATCCAATGTTTATGAACGAATCGAGCAAAAAATCATAGTTTTAGTTGCTTAGAGAAACTAGAGATGGATCTAAGATGCACTTTCTGGCAATAAATTGGAGACTATCAGACGACTCAACCGACTAAGACAACTGATTCGGAACAAGGACAACATCAAAACAACGCGGTAAATATCTGACATTGTGCTGCGCTAAGGCCTGTGTACCGTTGTGAATCGTGAATTCAAATATCAATGATGTCTATACAACAATAATAAAATTTACACTTTCAAACTCGCGGGTCAAAACTAATTTATTACTCATATTGTAAATGTGATATGTACGATTGTATGAAATAGTTAATTCCCTAATTTGTATGTAAATAAATCAAATATTCCTCAATGTCAATAAATAATCCCAACGTGCTACTTTACGACGTGTCAACCAACGAAAATAATCCAATAAATTGGCGCATAAAACATGCACAAAACAACAAACAGTAATCAGTAAAAAATCAAACAAATAATCACATAATACAACAATACATCAACGTACTTCACAAATATCCCTGGCCCACTATTCGCCACCGCAAAATAACGAAATTATATAATTACGTTTGTGCCGACTTTGCTCGTGCCAATTGACGACCATTTGAGCCGTGAGCATTAGCATTGTTTTCGTCCTGCCAATTTCCTCCACGCCGCCATCTATACCACCACGTCGTTATCGCGCTGCTATCATTGTACACAGCGGCTTTCTGCTGTTCAAAGTGCACTTCACCGTTTCCCGGTTTCATATCGTGTCGTGCCACAATCCAATTAATTCCGACTAGCGCAAGGATGAAAGAATCTACGATGGCAATAGGTATTACCAAGCGTTTGATCGCAAAACACACACGAAATGAAAACGTAAATAAAAATTGCGCTTCGTACAAAGCGTACAAATCGCGCACAAAACATTATTTGTTTAAGGTACATTTTAAAATAACTTTTAACATTTACGTGCAGCGTACTCATGTTCACCGGTGTGTTTGCGTAGGCTTTTTTGGTTTATGGCCATTTTGATGTGGGTTGTGGTTAATTAGTCCGCTTATACTCACATTTTTCGTGTTTTCCTCGCAACTTATACAGCTTTCAACAAATTTACTCTTTTCATAGCTAAAAATATATTTTAGCAAAATAATTCGCCGAGTGAAACACAAATGAACGGTATTGATTTAGAATTCTTAGCGTTGTGTTCTGCTTGTTTGCGCTCAATGATGAAATTTCGGTCTGGTTCTAAATAATGAGCGTGCTTATATATTACGCTGCTCCTTGGTCGTCCTCGTCGGTTTCGGTCGCGGTTATTTTTTTCTCTCGTTTTTATTTATGTGCGGCGTTTTTCGTCGTTTTCCAAATGCGCTCGTGTTGTTTGTTATGCAATGGTGGTTTGCGAAGCGTGGTGGAGGCGCCGGCCAGCGCTACCGGCACTCACACGTGGCCCAAAACTCACAAACGCACACAAACACGCGCAAAAAACGCTTTTCCATTGCGGCTGACATGGGACGTGCAAAACGAATAAGCAAAATAAACAAAAAAAGTATTATAAATTATCTTGCTGCTTTTTTTGTCCGTGCAATTTTTTTTGTTCTACTGCATGTGTGTGAATAGTGTGCTTGCGATGTAATATGAACTCTCGGTGTTTGCCCAAAAAAACGTTTGTTTAACTTACACCAAAAAATTACCGGAATTTATCAAAACAATTATAATCAATAATGATAATTATAGTCATACCACATGTAAAATTTATGACAAGTAAAAATAACTTCGGCGTACATTTTCATTTGTTTGACGTAGAAAACTTTTGTTTTCATCATTCTACCGCACGAAATAAAGAGAAAACTAAAAGTGCGCGCGTCGTTGTTTGCCGTTTGTTTGGCGAGTGGAATGGCGCGTGGCAAACGTGCTGCCTTTTCCACCGCCCCCTCGCGTATGCAAAAATATACGCGGAAGGAAACGGTAATTTGGTAGCTTCAATATGACACAGCAACTTCTCTGACATATGGCTTTTATTGCTCGACCACTTGCGCCCTTGCCGCCGGCGGCGCGGCGGATTTATCACATCAACTCCCTTTGGTCGGCGGCGGCGGCTTGCCGTATGCACATCGGGCAAATAAACCACTTGCACGTATTTTCATGCCACCGCCCTGCCGCTGGAGGTATAGCTTTAAACAGAAAAAGCAAAGAAGAAAAAAAAAACGACCATATAATATCGATAACCCAAAAAAAAAAATGTTTTTCAACGCCCCTCTCGAACATAAAAAATATATTAATACCTCTACCACCTTTACCACTTCGAGGGAAACAGTCGTAAATATGGTGTAATTGAATTTTTAATTTTACAAGTATTATTTGGTAATAATTATTAGGAAAACTTTAAACCGGATCATTTATATAATTTAAAAAATGTCATTCTTGAAATAGACTTTTTAAAGACCGAGTATAGTTAGCTTTATAGGAAGAAAAGCGAGGCGCACTTAAACTAAATTGGAAAAGCGGACGAAGAGCCTGCTGTGCGCGCCGACGAACGAAGCAGAAAAAAAAAGAACGCCTAAGAAGAAACGCCTAAAGAAGATATGGAGCACAGTTAAAGGAAATCGTGCAGGACATTCGCTTATAGGCGGGGACCGCACGCGGTGGCAAAGCGTTCGCTTTTTTTTTTCAACTCGTTGCAGCGTGCAATTTTTCTAATGAAGCGAAATGACTTGTAAGGAAAATGAAACTAACCGAGAAAATTTCCAACGACATCAAGACCAATTGCAGAAAACTCAATCTAAACACAAAAAAATCTACGTCAAGAAACGAGATTAGTATTATTATATACATAAATCTAATTTTAAAAACCGAAAAATTGATTAGCTTTCCCGGAGACATGTCGAGCTTAAAGGTAGTTACCTCTGTCAATTAAAATCTTTTTCATATTTTGCCAATTAGTGCACAACGCTTGCAGAAAATGTTCGATGTACGTAACACACTTTTCACGCAAAAACTTTTGCTCATACCAGTTGCATCAAAAGTTGTTTAAAACTCACGTGTGCGTAAATTCTGCTCGCTTGCAGCAGATTCTACACGTTCTCCCCGAGTCGTTCAGTTTCATTAACATCACATTAACATCAGCTCGTTAAAACTTATCGGCGCGATGGCTCATTATGCGCCGACTGAAGTCAACCACTCTTCTCCTACCCCTCAGCATCCAGTCACATTTCAACTGTTCGCCACACTGTAAGCACGCCGCAGTGTGTCACCTCTCAAACGTTGTGGTAAAAATGCCTTAACCAATTAAAACTTTTCATTAGCTCTCTTCGTCTCTTCCAAAAGTGAATTTATTCTCGCCGAGGCGCACTAAATGAAATTAACAAGAACTTTGCACATAACTAATTAGATCTATTAGAAACGCTTCATTTATCGTGAATAACTTTCAACATTATGGCGTCTAGACATTTTTATTGTGGCGGAAGGGGATTAATTGCGATAACAAGCGCCTGGTTAGGCCATGTTTGCAAGTGGCATGTGTGTAAGCGATGTGAATTAATTTACGCATTGACGAAGCAGTAAATTACTTGTAATCACGGTGGAAACCTGTCATATATCACTTCAAAAATTATGGATAAAATAATAATCAGTCAAGAATTTTCATACCAACAACTGATTATCATGACCACGATAATTACTCATAATAATCAGCGTGCAGCAATAACTTCAGAATGAAATAATTAATGTTTAGTCTGCACTTTGCAAATTACAATTGATGAAAATTCGCCAAAGCTGTAGATATCACATTAATGCAAATCAAATGTGTCACCTTGGGCGTGAAATGACTGTTTTCATACCAAAACGGATAGCAAAACATTGAGTGCCGGTAAATTGGTAAACTAATGATTAAACATGCCATTAGTCATCGATTAAACGGCGCAAATAAATTACCGCTGTGGTTGCACTTTTCAATCAGTCTTGTTTTATTCCTCGCCGGCCCAGCAATATGCTCCGATTACCATGCTGTGTATTAGTTTCCATTGCATTCGTACAATTAACCTCTGCATCTGGTACGTAATACTCACAATTACCAAACAAATAACTAATTATAAATATAACCATCAAGCAGCTCATATGGTTGAATTTATTCTAAGCAATCAACAAATTAAAAATTCCGACTACGATGTAAACAACACTCTCTGGATAAAACAATTCGATAAAAACTGTCTATGCGTTTTTATAATTCCCGGATGGAGAAACAACGCTTATGAAGATATATTTGAAGAATTAGCGGTAAAATATAATAACATTCCGAATAAATGTTTCAATACAGTGCGAGTAAACTGGTTGGACTCGATGAATCCAAATTATGCGAGTTCGGCTAGTGTTGTAAGACAAGTAGCTGACGAGGTGGCTTCGTTTATAAGAAGATTACAGCGCCTGGCGCTGATTCAGAGCGTCGAATTGGTCGGGTTTTCACTGGGTGCCCATATAGCTGGTCTTGTGGGTCGGACACTATCAGTATACCTGGGCCAAACTGATTTGGTGTCGGAAATAATTGCTTTAGACCCAGCCGGGCCCGGCTTCACCGACTTCTTTACATCGTATCAACACGACAAGCTAGAACCAACCGACGCAAAAGTGGTGATTACGCTCGTCACCAATGCCGGATGTTCGGGAAGCTCACAGCGTTTGGGTACGATCAATTTCATCGCAAACAATGGCCGAGATCAAGTCGGATGCGCAAGACATGACTGTAAGTAATATATATTTAATCTATCAAACCGGATATGAGGTTAATGTTGATTTTATATTCGTAGGCATTTGTAGTCATCGCAAAGCAGTTGAATACTTTATAGATTCGCTGACATCTTTCGCGTTTGTGGGCACAAATTCGCAATTCAAGACGCACGCGGTCTTTGGTCGCGGTTTGAATGATCGCACGCCGGCTGGCGATTATAATTTCAGGACCAACTTGGTTAGTCCTTTTGGCAGAGCTTGATTTTATTTAAACTAGTCTCGTAGCAACAAGTCACGTCTGTTAGCCCAGTGTAGTAGCTGAGACGCGCGGCGGCCTTAATGCATAGCAAATGAGATTAACCGTCAGACTGTAGAATTCGAGTACACATCAAACTACACGCCGATGGATGATGGATGACGAAAGCCTTTGAGCGTGGATTTCTCAATGCATACATGATTACGATTATTATCTCGTGCGTTGTAAGTCTATTTTGCAAATTAACCACAAAGGCAGCAGCAACTAATAGATATATTAAATTTAAAACCATATTATACCAAAAATATAAAATTTTATGTTTTTTTTATAATTAAATAACTTTATAAGTTAAATTTATTTGCAGAATGCGAATGAAATGTGACCTGCTTAAATGGAAATACGTGGAATAATGCAATTATGTCGTACGTCAGCGTTTTTCGTTGGTAAAATTTCAAAAATACGAAAAATTAAACCCATTAGCTTCGGCCGCGTGCAATTTTTGTTTCGCCGCACATACCTTGTCATGCATCAGTTCGGAGTTTTCATTATGCGTTACGGTTTCGCCTATTTACGCGCTCGTCTGAAATCGTCGTGTGATTGCAACAGCGCGCGCGGCTTTCAGTGCACAAATACGTGCGCAATTCCGTTGACATCGCGCAAAAATCCACAAGGTACGACCGCCGCGTGCGAAAAATCTCATTAAAATTTAATTTTCCACCGAAACGTCATTGTGTTTAATAGAATTTGCCCTCGTCAATTATCATCCTGAAGGAGCGTGATTGAATCATTCCGTTCAACTTTACACCGACCGATGGGAGGAACTTTTTCTCGCCGGGCGAAGCGTAATTGTCGTTAATGAATGAAAAAAAATCTTTGCATTGAACTTTAGGTATAACGAGCTTGCAACAAGTATCAAGCATGTTAAATCTTGCAAATAAAAGCTTTATTATTTGCATATTATACTTTTTTTTAAAACCAATTTTATTTACATATATATTGGTTTATTTTAGTGAAAAAACTGCTTTTCAAGCGGTCAAAATGTGTCGAATGCACAAACCCACTATGCAGTATATTTGTGTGTTTAAGCTGCATCGAAAGCTGCTCCCCAAGATAGGACGTATAACATATCGTCCTGTTTGATATTCCGTCCGCAATAAACGCGCACCGAGCGCCGCAAACTTTCTAGCAAACACAGAACAACTTCTTATTTTTTATTTTTTTCCTGTGTATGTGAATTGCGCTTTTGTTTTCTTATCCTCCAAGGAAAAAAATACTTTTCAAGCGCATTTCAAGCGACTATACCATCCAAAAAATTTTATCTAAAGTATCCTACTTTATATAACTTTAAACTTAAACCTCAACAATAATATTAGGAAATTGCTACGTCCTCGACAAAATAAAGTCCTTGAAACCTTGAAAAGTTTTATATAGTTGTAATTGTTCTCCTCCTTAATTTTAAACTTTTATTGCCCAGACGTAAAATGAAGTACGTGGCGTGCATTCGAGGATAATCTCCCGATGGACAGAACGCTGCATTGCACCCTGCACAAACCGACACTCTAGCGGTGTGTTAAAAAAACTTCCCTCATAGACTGCAGGACGTTCCGGCTTTTAAGAGTTCATTTCTTTTGTTCGTCGTTTTCGCTTCTTTGTCCTTTTAGAAGCTTTCTTCGTCACTTTACATCAGGAATGCGGCAAAGTTTTAAAGTAAACTATAATGCCAGTTCAATTTACAGTTCCTTCGTGTTGCGGCCTGGTTTATTGGTGTTTCCATTTAGGAGTTTCCAGAGATGGTCTAGAATACTGACCTGACAGTTGATATAGACGTAAAGGGACACAGGAAGATACAATCCAACAGCGCAAACAGGAATAATTTAAACTTTTGTTTGCAACCTTTAATTAATTCGGTGGAAACATAAATTTTTGTTGCAGTGACAATTTGTCGCAGTCATCGAATCGTAAAGCGTGGTCATGGGCAATAGCCCAGCATCGAGGGGTAAATGATGTGAATTAGTGTAAAGTTTTGGTAAAACAATTATTTGTTGTGAATGGTTGACCGCTCCTGCTTGCCTGTCATAACGCATGAATGCGCTGCAATTATTTCCTATGCCAAAAATTTATACTGGTTGAAATTTTTTTTCAAAACTTTGCTAAAATGAAAAAAAAATCCGCAAAAAACATTAGAAATCAATTGCAGCGGTTTATTTCCATTGAAATTCTGGATATGGATGATAATTTTCCAGTGATTTAAATGTTTTTTTTTTTGTTTCGTGTGTTTTAATTATTCATTTAGACCGCAATGGTCGTATTTCCAGTGTGCAACACATGGTTAATGCCCATTAAAAAACTGTTCCTCACATACCGAGCCTCGCGCTTCGCTGCACAATTTTTCCACGCGCCGAATATAAACGCGAGTTTCAAACGCGTAAATTTGCGACAAAAATATATTACGAATGTCGCCGATAATTGTCCGGCGTAATCACGCGTACATACATCGATGTACGATTTCAATATTTTAACCATTTCAGCAGAGCGTGGGACGAATATCGAAGTACCAATGATTACCGTATATAATTCCTGCATACATTCCTCGCTGGTGCTTTATTCACACCGAAAAAAGTATAGAACGTGCACAAAAAATGTTTAATTATATCCCGCTCCGGCGTAAATGACGCCGACGATGCTCAATTAAGCGCGACACCAATTTTAAAATTAACAGCGTGATCCTTACCCTTGTCGCTGCGCCGAGTGTATTACGTGTTTTTTCCCTCGCTGTTTTATGTGTGAAGATATTAAATACGTCGAGTTGTTTTTCATCGCTGGGTATTAAACGCACGGGCGTGCAGCGACGACAAGTCTGGCTTCAATCAAACCCGCGCCGATTTTACGAGCTGGTGATATTAAAATTTTTAATAAAACGACGCACGGATTTCTAACAAAGCGTTTAACTTTTACGCCAGCAAGTAAAATGGCAGCACGCCGGATACTGCAGCTTCAAGGTTTGCAAAGCGCGCATGCGCATTGGTGCATTCTAAGCCAGTTAGTTCCAATTATCGCCGCTAGTTGCAAGCGCGCGTCTTTTGAATGTTGGTTATAATTATCACCGTCAGGTGGAAGTTTGGTTTATAATTCAAATTGATATAAAACTAATAATAAAAAAGGCGAATACATTTGTTTCTTTGACATGGGTGTTTGTTGTATATGACATTTGACAACTTTTCACTCCCCTGTCGTTGCCGCAGATATCCTGCAATAAAATCAAGCTAAAAAATAGGAACTGGCATGCAGGAAAAAAGGAAGCGCTGGAAAAAACAGCAAATCCAGTTGGAAACGGGCGCGAATGTGTAAGAAATCGCTTCGCGTCTGCACCGTAGAGAACCTCGACATTCCTGCGCGACAATATAAAAATAGAAAGCACTTTCCGTACGCACGGAGAATAAATTCGCATTTTTGTAATACACAAGCGCGCATACATGACATAAACACACTCATATACAGTTTGTTTGCACAAAACGCAAGAAAAAGGCGTCGAATTTATTCAATTCCATGCTGGGATGCGTCTTGAGTGCTTGATGTATGATTGTTCATTTCGCTCCGACTACGAATGCTGAGGACAGAAGCATGCGGGGGCGCAAAAAGAAAATAAAAATAAAATACAAGAACGGAATAAGTTGAACGAGTGGCTCGCGTACGTGATTCGTGATTCGACTGGTAATTGCACATTCGTTTTTGAAATGCACACACCAGAGCAAGGACGAAATGGAAAGAAGACGAATCGAGATTTCGGTTTGGTGCGGTGGGAATACGTCTCTGTCTGTCTATACGTCATTGCATGCACGAACTGATATATACCTACTTTTGGTAATATATTGGCGGCGCTATCGGCAAAGTGTGCACCACTCAACGAAGTCGTTCCAGACTCTCACAAAGTGTGTTTGGTTACAGTTGTGTATCTACAACAACCACTAAGCGTTCAAATATGCACAAAAAATAAAAATTAAGTCTTCTACTGTAAATTTTAAATTTAATTTTTTTAAAATTTGTTTAATATCGTTAATTGCTCTCTAGGAGAGCCCCTGATGAAGTTTGTGAACTTTTTGCGACTTTAACAGACTGTTTATTCGTGAATCAAGGCGAGCATTTTGAATACAAGAGATAAATGTGAAAAGCATGTGAGCTGCCTCGCAAATTTCATCTTGTGCACAAATACACATGCATTGCGCGACGTTCAGCGACCCACTACTCGGACTGAATGAAAACCCCGTGTTTGTGCAGCAGACGCCATTGTGCGCACCCACCTACATCATCCAAGACGCTTTTTGTACGCAACGCGTTTCTGATTTAATATGGAATTATTATCGCGCCGTGCACACCGCATACGCCCGCGATGAGTTGCGATGCCTCGTGCAAGAGCGAAAAAAGTGTTGCAATATTCATACGAGTTCGAGTGGCCACTCAGTGTGCTCTAGGATCGCAGAACGAGAAATGTGAAACGCCGCGTATGAAATATTTTTAGATAAACCAACTCCGCGACCCGCCACCGAAATCGATATTTTACACAATTCGGGATGCGGTATGGGTGCCAAAAGTTTTGATCGCGACCGTTTATGAATTATTATGTGGTTCATTGCGGATAAACTCGTAATAAATCGGAGAAATCGTAGTTTTTGGCCGGGCGGAGCCCCAAAAGCACTTGCATTATTGATAACGCCAGATTAGATAAAGATTATTAGATTAGCAATAATAGTTGTGGCTAAAGCGGGCGTTATGGATGGATTTGAGGGTGTAGAAGAAAGGGGTGTAGTTTTGTGGGTCGTGGAATTAAGGTCTTCAGATCAGTTATGATCCATGGACGTGGAAAGCGTACGCTTGGCTCGCAGCGGAGAATAAATGACGGACGGTTTATAAATCCGGTAGGCCAACATGGACCGGAAATGGCGACTGCATCCGTTCTGTCGTCCAGCCAGGATACATGTAGCTGAAATGTGTATCTACGGTTTACCGAA